TATATGGCAGTTTAATTTCGGGGAGTTTTATGTCTAGCCAATAACAACCTCTATTCGTAAGTTGTGCCCATATGTAAGGACCGACAAAATACAATTGATATGCAGCAATTAGGACTTAAGTTGCTGCTTGGGACAGCAAATTTTTGACTGGGGGACGCTACTTATCTATTTATTTATAACACTAGAGCTCGATAAGTAGCAGTCTATCTGTCTGCAGGTAACGCGAGCCGCCTCGCGTTGGAAAAAGATTTTTAAAGATGGAGTCGTCGTATCTGTTGGTAGCCAGATTGGTTGCTATAGTACCGGGCCCGCGGGTGCACAAGGCAGAGTCGATAAGCACGGACACAAACAAACGCAGCTATTAACTTGAATTGCTAATCCCCAAAAATAGTAGGTTTGATCTGATGCGAAGACCTTTCGCGATAAATTTTATGTTCCTAAAAATTTCTTTGCACACCTAAAATTATGAAAGAGCTTCCCTGGGCATGTTGCTTGCGAGCTAAGGGGTAATGGTGCCGAGTTAGCTCTATTAGTTGCCCAAGCACAAGGTACTGCATAGCGGCAAGCTCGTACTTTCAAAGCTTTAAGGCTTTCTTTGCTTGCTGTTTTTAAGATAAACTTGACTTATAAGGTGTTTTATCGTATTTTATATTTTCAAACACGCTGTAACATTTGCTCACTATTTAGAACGTGTTGGTACACGCGCTATAGCGCAAACATTATATTATTTCTTGTCTTATTAGTAATTAGAAACAGCGCCGTATCAAGTAGTGATAACCACTTGTTCTTGACGGCTCTACTAAGGTTAGTGATAACGTGTTGAGACTAAGCTCTCACAACCTTTGTATGTGGCTGCATTTTTTCCTAATAACTAGTCCAGTATCGTTTTGCTATACTAACCTGTTAGTCAAGCGATTAGTGCAAGGCGGTTTAGCCCAGAAAAATCATCATTGCTTTGATGTACAAATGAATTCTAGCTTTATCTGATGTTTAGCATATTATAATAATGACACTGCTTTAACAGGTTACAATGTGTCACCCATTGCTTGCTCAGCCTGACTACGAACACACGGCTGTAACACTATTCTAACAGAAAATGACTTAATCTAATTTGGTTCCCAGTTTTATAGCATTACTATTACCTGTTGGCTTTCGCATGATGGATGTAGTCTTCGCCTGTCGAACATACGGTCACGACGTGATCCGGTTACTACTTGCACCTTCTGTCACATGTTGCCAGCCCCACGTGCGCTGTATGCTTGTATTGTAGCCGATCGATTTGCATCCCAGATGCCGGTTCCGGATGGTCCGATGGCTGTTTCTATTCGTTCTTTTTATTTTCGTTATGTAAATAACAGATATAGGGCGGAGGAAACCGATTCTATTGAAGTCATCTTCTTAACTACCTGGTTTGTTCCGGCGTTCCTGGGCGTATTAAATAAAAACAATCCTCCCAGAGACATCTGTGGTTTGCTCCATGCTGTTGAGTAGCTATGATGGTAGCGCTCGGCCATATTTTAAATGGTTAGGTGCCTTGTGTTTGGATAGAAATAAAAGCTGGAAAACAGGTAGCGATACTTTGCACTGGCCGCCAGCAAGGTACTCTTACTGTTCTGAACGAGTTGTTACACATATCATTGTCTACATTTATTGTATAAGCACAGTGGTATCTGCAAATAGAAATTAAGTTGCTCGGGCTCTTGTAGAGTTCCAAGTTGCTTCGCGACTGTCCTCCTCGGCCCAAGTAATCAGAACCGCTTGTTGAGTTCCAAGTTGCTTCGCGACTGTCCTCCTGGGCCCAAGTAATCAGAACCGCTTGTTGGTAAAACTTTAAAGATTGCTAGAGGTCTCCTGGCTGAACCTAAAAGCCCTTGTCACTATTACTCTTTTTCTTTTTTCGTAAACTTGTTGTCATCACCGCCCAACGCTAAGATTCATTGATTTAGAACATGAATGGCCTTTTTCTTAATGTGCTATAATAGCGAGAGATGTGAGACTTCCGGGCGTCTTATTGCTACAAATGCATCATGGTCATCGAAGAGATACTATTCAGTTTCAGTATCACATTGACTCCAAAGAAATAGCCCCCGGTACAGTCTGAGGTTACGAACCTTTGATATCTCCATGAACTTCATAGAATTTGGGATCACGAATCGTTTTCAGTGTCTATAGTTTACATTTTTAAGTGTATGACAATTCAGGTCATTCTATTAGCAGTTGTAATCTTTATCGACCAACGTACGACGTCTTGCCAATGCGAAGCTCTGTTATTTTCATCGTCGTACTGACGGCTTGTCGGAGGGTAAGAGTGCTCAATCTAATCTTGTTGAAGAGGCATATAATGCAGATATTGATAGCGACAATGAAGTGCGATGGTGCAGTGTGCAATGCGAGCCAAACTATTGTGATCGACTCAGAAGTTCGCGTTAAGAACTCAGAACCAACGAGCACGAGCTACAGATGTAAGCGGCTCCACATCCGCCGACGGTGGAAGCTTAAAAAACCATCGTTCCGGAGATACAGGCATTGAATATTTAGGGCTTCTCTAACATTAAAAAGACCTAAAATATTTCGAGAAATAGGCTCCATACAGTTTGTGTATATAGTATTGATCAGTTTAATAAAATAAATATATTTGTTCGATCGAGCGACTCATGAGAATACTTAGCCTCGTATATATAAGCCAAATGATACATTTGACTACCTTTTCGAAATACTCAGAGTCATTGAACCTTTCTTTTCTATGAAGCAGCACACTTTTATGAGTAGGCAACGGAAGAGGGTATTTGAGGAAAGAGCTGCTTATGTCTATTTTTGCTTTATATCTGAGATTCAAGCCTGCATGTATACACATATGACTTACGATAATTTCGAAATTTACGAAATCGACTCCGATTTTTCTTTAAAAATAAGCAGATTCTGCATTGAAATATTTCTGGCTGGAACCTTATTTTCACGTTTAACATGCAAACAACTATTCCAAAAATAGTATACCGCGAAGCACACACGCTCTGCTATCAACCGTCATCGGCGATCGCTTGCCAAACCCCTTTGTCATCTCAAATTTGATCTTAGTGGTGATGGTAGTCATCGGGTTACGGTACTCATTTTTAGTGTGTACACACACTAAATCATGGGTAAATGCTTATACAAATACGCATATAACTCAGTTATTCTATCCGATGAGCCAAATTTTTCCAACACATCACTTGTTCTTATTCATTTTGCATTCAGGGGACGCGGCTGGCGGATGCCCAGACATGATTCTGTTGGCAGAAATCAATGAGACGACAATCAAAGAAAACCTACGCATACGCTATGAACGGGACCATATTTATGTGAGTATTCTATGTAAACATACGGGACTAAATAGTACCACTTTCGAACTACTGGCATCTACTATCAAAGCTGCGTTTAATTAGCAGAATAGGCATAAAGCCGTAAAGCGCACAAAGAACAACGGGTTTCCGAGAAAACCGCCCGCTCGTCAGCAATGAAAAATGCAGAAGGAAAAATTTTCTTTCTTTTATTGATTTTACAGTGTCTAGCTATTATACTTCTGTAAAAAATTTAAGCGTGTGTAAAGATGTTGCCATATAAATAGGGTCGGACTGTAGCCAATCGCGTCGAGTCTGTAAGGGCCTAACCTAAGAAAAACTCTTTAGCTATTATGCATGTACCTTAGTACCGTTAGTTATTATACTTCAGTAGTGTTATATATTATACTACTAGTGAATAATAGGTATGTGTTAACCTGTGACTTATTTTTTCCTTTTCAGACATATACGGGCACTATACTCGTCGCCGTGAATCCTTATAAGGAATTACATATATATCATGAGGTGCAAAATTCATATGAGTAGTGTTACTAATGCAAATAGCTTTTGGTCGTATTGCTGAATGATAATGTTCCTATCTATCGTCAAGTGATGGGAAATTCGTTACCATATATTTCGAGCAGGCTTCCAAGACTTCTACTACAAGACCTGTAGCTGTAGAAAATTACAAAATGTCCAAAGCACAACTGTAAAATGTATATATATATATATATATATATATATATATATATATATATATAAAAAAACAGTTGATGGAGAATATTTAGAAACTATAACACTTACATTTGACTTTTTATTGGTTTGTTTTAGAGTTATATTCAAAAGTATGCTGCGAACAAAATGTCACAGTTGGAACCCCACGTTTACGCAGTGGCTCAGGCAGCCTACTATGAATTACAGGTCAGTGAAAATAGTTGGCCACATATATAGTAGTTATCATATACTGTACTAACACTCCCGCGAAGTTCTGCTTACCGAATTTAAGCGAAATTTTTGGTTTCAAATTAGAACATAGCAAATTTTTTTAGCTCTTTTAATGCAAGAATGTTTATTCGTCGAAAGACACCTTCATGATTTTATGACGGCGCGCAGTGTTCGTGTTTAAGAAGAAGTTTTTTTATGCTGAACGTGAGTCACTGGCTTATTGACCCATATTGTATTGCATTATTATATTGAATAGATCTTGTGAGAGTGATTTTAACTTAGAAGAAAGTCTTTGTTATCCAACAGAACAACGTGCAAAATCAAGCCTGCGTCATATCGGGTGAATCCGGTGCTGGTAAAACTGAATCAACAAAGTTCATCTTGCAGTTCCTTTGTGCTGTGTCATCTTCTCAGGTCTGTATTTAATAAGAATTCGTAATATTTCTGTCAGCGTCGTAGATATAGAAGTTATATACTTAGTCGACTCTAACAAATGGAAATTTGTCAGTGTAATCGTTTCGGATTAAAAAATTGAATATATATATA